TAGTATCCAAGACCTGTCACTTTTGAGGTCAGAGGACTGTTCTACATTGACTGTTGTGGTGTGAGAGAAGAGAAAACCAGTTGTTTTTCCTACAGACTTCTATTTTAAAAAAGAGTGAACAGTTTCAAATACTTCTCCTTGGCCTAAATTCAAACTCACCACAACCTGATCTTTCCTGTGTTTTACTGGTTAGTTTGTCACTAACTTTACTAAGCATCTAGTTATTTCTCACTTATAAAGCTAAAACCATGGTCTTCCCGTTCCCTTATTCATGCCATGCGGAGGACATTTTTCCTCCCTTTGACTTCACAGCCAGAGTCATCCTTCTAATGTAAACTCCCAGTCACATGTCACCTTCTCTGTACGTGTATAATTTTCCCTGCCCACCTTCAAACCTAATGTACGGATGGGGAAACTGAGAGCCTCGTATGACAGTGGGGTGTGCACCAGCCAGTGCATCCACTCTATTCTCCAGCTCCTATTAGAGATCACCTTCTACCATCCCAGCCCCTTGCTGACCTTTGCAAAGACTTTATAAGCGCAACACGTACCTGGCACCCAACACACTGGTGGACTTCTTGACGAATGTACCAGATGCGCCTGAAGAGCCGTAGCCAGGGCGCTAGAGGGCCCAGAAAATATGCTAAGGCTGTGTGCCTGCGCCTGGCGCTCAGCAGCCCTTTACTGTGTGCCTAACTGCTTAAAAACTTAGGGAACATGGGCAATAAGGACGTGGCCCACCAAGAAAGGTTGCCATGGAAACCAGGGGGCTCAGCGCTCACCAGCCTAGAGGTGCCTGCTGATCGTCCGTTCTGCAGGCAGGTATGCCCTGCGCTGGGGGAGGAGGATATTTCCCACAGACGGACCTGGGTTCCAAGGGGGCACTTCCTGAAGGAGGAACTTAAGGCCCAGTGGCGACTTCCGGCTGGCTCTGAGCTCCACAGGAGTGCGGCTGTTTTCTGTGTTCCTAAACACCGGAGCATGCGCTTATTTACATAAAGCATTTCAAATAGAAACCCTAGGGCTGGTGATGTGCCGGAGAGAGAGAAACAAAAAACCAAGTTTCCCCCTACACCAACAGGTAGGTAAAGAGAAATCCCAATCTGTCTTTCAGGGCCTTATGGGGAGAGTAGCTCAGTAAACAAACACAAGACACCAAAGTTGAATAAATTTTAGGTATATAGAGTATATATGCATGTTTTTCAACTCAAGTTTCATGAACTCAGAGTACACCCCCCCACACACACACTTATTTAGTTGGGGGGGGGGCGCTTTCACGTGTATAGAAGTCAGAGGAAAAAAATTTTTTTAGATTTTCTACGTGTGAGTGCCTGACTGCATGTATGTATGTGCACCACTTGTATGCATGGTATCCCCCGGAGGCCAAAAGAGGGTGTCAGGTCTCCCTAGAACTGGAGTAACAGCTTACAAATGGCTGGTATGGGTGCTGGGAACCTAACCTGGCTCCTCTTCAAAAGCATCAGGTACCCCTTGACCTCAGGGCCATCTCTCCAGCAATGGAGATAGGTGCTTGGAGTTAGTTATCCCCTTCTACCATGTGGATCTCAGGGAATGAACTCAGGTTGTCAGGCTTGGTAGCAAGTGCCTTGACTGGGTGATCCATTTCTGTAGCACCAATGTACAGATGGATGTTTATATTTCTCCAACACACCACCTGAAACATTCTGTTCAGAGTCCATCAATCCATCATCTATCAATCTATCATCTATCTATAATCATCATCTGATAGGTAAAAATTTGCGGGAGAATGAGCGAATGGAGGATGAGGCACCAGGACACAGATAAAACTCCAAATAGGGTTTATTAGTAAAGGAATACATGGGTCAGATTCCCTTCCAGGCAGGGAAAATGTCTGCCTGGGTCTTGAGCTGGGGTCTTTTAAAAAGGGAGGCTTCTGCTTCCTGCAGAAGGCAGGAAGATGTATTTTTTTAAAGTTGGGTGTGGGGGGATGTGGGAGAGTGGGACTGTTAAAACCTGTTCTCTTTAGAGATCAAAAGGGAAGCCTGCTGTGTTGGCCAAACAGTGGAGAAAAGTCTTCTCTTGACTTCAAAGACCAAGGTGCTTATCAGCTCAGTTCCCTTTTCTCAGGAGCTTGAGAAGTCCTTGGGATCCTGTTGGTGAGGGGGCAGGGCTATCTGAACCTTAACAGTCACCAATCTGTCAATCATCTATCAAATTTTAAGCATTTATGGAAAGCACATGTAATTTTTCACTTTGGTTTCTTCCATATCTGCTTATTATGTGTTGGCTGGGCCTGGTGGCACACTCCTTTAATCTCAGCACTCAGGAGGCAGAGGCAGGAGTATCTCTTATCAGATGGAGGCCAGCCTGGTCTACATAAAGAGTTCCAGGACAGCTGGTGCTACAGGGAGACTGTCTCAAAAAACAAGAACAAAACAAAAATTATGCATTGTGTTTGTGTGTGCACGTGTATGGGTGCAGAAGCCAGAGATTATATCAGGTATCTTGCTCTGTCCCTCTCCACCTTATTTTTCAGACAAGATTTCTCACTGAATCTGGATCTCACTGATGCACCTATACTAGCTAGCCAGCAAACCCCTGGGATCCTCCCTATTCCCTCTCTGTGGGATTACAGGTATGCACCACCATGTCCATCTTTTGACATGGGTGCCGGGGATCTGAGCTCAGGTTTACAAGCTTGCGCCAGAGACATTTTACTAACTTCTCTCCGGTCCTGTCAAGTTATGATTTTTTTAAACTGTAAAATGGTATTCAATTGCATAGGTGTACTATATTTTACTTAATTGTTCCTATTAATATATACTTAAGGACGTGTTATTTATAAACATTGTAGGAAACACCATTGAAATTTTTAATTCTTTTTAAAATTTAATTTTATTATTTTTATCTTATGTATCTGAGTGTATTGCCTGCATTATGTAAGTGCACCTGTGTCATGCAAAGCCTGAGGAGGACAGTAGAGGGCGTCGGATCCCCCAGAACTGGAGTTACAGACGGTTGTTAGCCACCATGTGGGTGCTTGGAATCAAACCCAGGTCCTCTGCAAGAGCAGCTAGTACTCTTAACCACTGAGCCATCTCTCCAGCCCCCTACATTCTTATTTTAAAGCTTTTATTTTATTCAAAATTTGCTTTGAGATTTTGTAACTCTTCAGAGACTCTTGTTTACAGCACTGTCTATATTGCTATTTCCATAGGAAAATAAGTATTTTCTCTTTATGCTATTAATAATGAAGTTAAATTTCATGTTTTCACATCCTTTGAATTGGATAGACATTACACATGAACAAAAAGACATACATTTAAACTTTAAGTAATTTTCTTATTTTTAAGGGTAATACTGTTGAAAAGTAAAAAGAGATGGAATGTAAGCAAGAGATGAAGATAGCTTTCACAAAATCAGTGATAAATGAGCAATTAACATGTGAAAAGCTAGTCAACGGTAGAAATGTAAAGTCCCTTCTAAAGCAGGCTGTTTACTGAAGGTTATCTGTCTCTGAGGTTTAGAAGTTATGAAAAGGCTTTAAATGCCTATGCTTGGATTTTTGTACAGACATAAGGGCGAAATACCAAGGATGGTGATCTTATGCTGTTCTGGTGGTGCTGGGGATCTAGTCTAGGACATTGCACATGCTGCACAAGTGCTCTACCACTGAGATAGTCTCAGCTCATGGCTTTGTTTGCATTTTCAGACAGTCTTAGTATGTAGCTCAGGCTGGCTTTGAATTTGTGGGCTTCCTGCCTCATCCTCTCATGTGCCAACATGTCAGCTACAAGTTTGTTCAGTAAATATTAAAATACATTCATTCAGTAACTTCTATCAGAGACATAAGTGACCAGCATGGTGGTACATACCTTTAATTCCACCACATGGGGGGTGGAGCTGAGACAGGAGTAAACATAATTTATAATTTATTAAGGAGCAGATGTGGTGGTGCAGTTCAGTTCCTAGCATCCACACCAGGTGGTTCACAAACACCTCTGACTCCAGCTCTAGGGGATCCAATGCCTCTGGCTCCATATACCCACACAGAGACACATACACATAATTAAAATATAATTCTTAGGGGCTGGAGAGATGGTTCAGAGGTTAAGGGCACTGACTGCTCTTGCAGAGGACCTGAGTTAGATTCCCAGCACCCACATGGAGGCTATGAACTGTCCTTAACTCCAGTTCCAGTGGAATCTGAAACCCTCTTCTGACCTTCACAGCACTGCATGGCATGGGTGCACTCACATACATGCAGGCAATACATTCATATACACATAAAATAAAAATATTCAAAAAATAATTTTTAGAAAAAAGAATTTATGAAGATACAACATAGAAAATCAGTTATTTTTCCCACCTTTCCTATTTTTCCACGTTACTTCCATAGTAGCAAACTTTGTAACTGCATCCATTAACATATAAAAGGAAGATCTGAGTGGGTGATGGAGACACCCAGTCTTGTTTCACTCTGTACTTGGATATTAAAGGCAAGATGCAACAAAAACAGAAATGTCTGATCAAGCCAGTGTTTCCCACAGCCTAGAGCAATTTTCCAAGTAATTAAGATTTATATTGGTCTTGAGATTTTGAATATTTTCCTAGGAATAATAAAGCTACTCTATGTACCTTCCTCATTAAACTGAACAGAATCAGGCTTAGAATTTATAATATAGAGCTAAGTGTTTAGGTACTGACCACAGAACAGCCTTCAAATTATTTGGGGAAAAATATCCATGACATCAACTTTGCTTGTAAAAGGCAGAAGATAAAATAGTTTTGTAAATTCCTAAGCAACAGAACAACTGGTTTTCACAAGTTTCCAGTGTTTCAAAAAGCACACCTGCTTCTCTTAAATATTTGGTCTCCCTATAGAAAATGCTGCTGACTGCTGCATCTGGTTGGCTTATGGACAGTCAGATCTGAGTGGGAAGGAGTAGGAAGTAGTAAAGATTGCCAGGTGTAATTCCAACATTTACCTATTCTTATGCCCAAATTTTTAACTCTGCACGAAACAAGACACCCTTTACTGTTCCCCTTTTCAAAGTCTAGGCCTAAGGTACATGTGCTCAGTGACTGGGGGAAGCTGCTCATGGGAGCTGACTAAACCAGGAAGAGCCCTTTCTTGTCCACATTTTGCATGTGATGGCTGGAACTTCAGCAACTATTCAGGATCCATATGACCTTAAAAACAGATGGCACTGACACGTATGATGGAGCCACCTTATCAGTCTTGGACTGTCACTAGCCTTTTCTATTGGACAAGAAAAACAAACTTTTCCAAGCTGCCATTTGTTTGTAAGCTAAATGCAGCTGCTGCAAGTTGTAATCACTACAAGGGCTTACCCATCTTCCCATGCTAGCATAACATGAAGGCTTTTTCTCAGAGAACTATTCCCCATGTAGCTATCACCAAATAGTAAGCAACGTTTACCATTTTGGTGATGGGCTTGGAGCAGAATCCTCCAAGCTTACTGTTCATCATTACTAAGACAGTCAACATGATATAAAGACTGCAAACATCTCTCCAAGTTGATTTTATTGTTTAATGATCAAAATCAAAACATTTAAAATTGCATCATTGTTATTAAAATGAAAAGGCCCAGTTTCTTTCACTGGACATTCATTAAACAATGTTTGAAGCGGTCATTGTACCAGCACTGGGAGATGCCAAGTAAGAGTTACTGCTTGGATTAATTCAGGACAGTCATTCGAATGACTTTGTGGAGGAAAGGCTTGATTTATAACTTGAGACTGTGACACTGTGGTTGCAACAGGGTGGGAGATGAAAAATCACAGGAGTTGATCAATCCTGGGAGCAGGGTCCATGGTTAAGGAGCAAAAGATCATCTTTGCTTTCTAAAATGCATCCACTGATAGCCCATGCTTCCATCCATGGTAAAGTAGATATGAAGCCAGGGTGTGGAACCATGAAGCCAGGGGGAAAATGGTCACTGTTAACTTACACTGTTAGACACTTTCAAAAATGGTTTATTTGAAACACCATTAGTTTTTTTAAAAATTAAAAAAAATTATCTGTGTTTGGTGTCTATGTGAGTTTATGTGCACCACATGCATGCAGGAGTCCATGGAGACCAGAAGAGGGCATTAGATCTCCTAGAACGGGAGTTACAGGCAGTGTGACCTGTCATGTGGGTGCTGGGGACCAAAATTGGGTCCTCTGTAAGAACAGCAGATGCTGAGCCATCTCTCCAGCCTCCCCACCTCCTCTTTCCCCCATGTCTGTGTGGTGTATGTGTTCATGTGTGGACGAATGTATGTGTATGTGTGGAGGATGAGTTCAATGTCAAGAGTCTCTCAATTGCTCTCCATCTAATATATTGAGGCAGGGTTTCCCACCTGAACCTAGAGTTTGCTGATATTACTAGTTTGGCTAACCAATTTGCTCTGGAGATCCTGTCTCTGCCTCCTGAGAAATGGGACTGCAGCTGGGCAGCCACACCCACCTGGCAATTATGTGGGTGCTGGTGGGTCCAAACTCTAGTCCTCAAGCTTGCATAGCAAACACTGTAACCATTAAGCCACCTATCCAGCCCTCATTAGTTTTATATTATAGGGGCCTATTGCTATAGCACTTGCAAACATATCAATCTGCCTTTGTTCTGTGTAAATCTGTGGACACTTGATTTGAGAAACTCTGTAGTGAAGAACATATTTAACTTTGATCCCACAGTATTATCTATGGCGACTGTAGTCTGACTATGGCTTCAAGTAAGAAAAGGAGAGAGAAGCAATGGAGGCAAGTGGCTTCCAAGAATTCTGATCTCAGATTTGGCTAGAATGACTTATTTTAAAGCACTCCTTCCCTGTCAATGTACCTTTCCAATGTCTCACAAGGAGAGAACTCATCAAGCTAGTTTGCCTTTGTGGTGATGTCTCTGATGCTGAAAGAGACCTGACTTTTGTCTAAACGCTTCTCCACATTCACTACACTGGTAGAGTTTTTCTTCATTGTGGATTCTTAGGTGCTGATCAAGGTGTGAATTTAGACGGAAGGCTTTCTGGCATACTTTACATTTGAAAGGTTTTTCTCCCGTGTGAATCCTGTGATGTCGAATAAGGTCAGAAGTCAAACTGAAGGCTTTCCCACACTCATTACACCGATGGCTTTTGGAGTGACTGTGGATTCTCTGATGATGGGTGAGGAGTAGGGCCTGACTGAAGGTTTTTCCACACTCCTTGCACTCACAGGGTTCCTCCTGACTATGAATTCTTTGGTGTCGATTAAGGTGAGAGCTCCGCCTAAAGTTCTTTCCACAATGGATACATAGGTAAGGTTTTTCTCCAGTATGGATTCTGAGATGCTCCAAAAGGCCTGCATTCTGACTAAAGACTTTCCCACATTCTTTGCACTCATAAGGTTTCTCACCAAGATGGATTTTCTGATGTCGGATGAGGTGTGAACTCCTCTGAAAGACTTTCCCACATTCCTTGCAGGGATGACCTTTTTCTCTAGCAAGGGCTTCCTGATGTCTGGCAGGAGCAGAGCTAAAACACAGCACAGATTCACGAAGCTTTTCTCCTGTGTGTGGCCTTTCATGTTCAGTCAGGTCTGAGTGGTGGGAAACTCCCTCCTTAGCTTCTGAGCATCTGCCGCCAGGCTTCTCCTTGGGTGAGGCAGGCTGCCTTTCCAAGGGTGGATCTTCACAGTGGGCCTTGATGGATTCTGATGTTTTCCTTGGTGATTCCACCCTTTCACAAGAGGCTGTTCCTGCCACAAGTTTCTCATTCTTGGCCCTTGTCTCCTCATCTGAAACATTAGATTTATCACTAATTACTTGTTTTTAGTGCTTAGGGAAAGGAAACTGCAACTAGGAGGAAATATTGAAATTAAGCGATATGTGCAAAGTAAAAATTTTGTGATTGCTTGTGATTGTATAAAATACATATGGATGATCTGCAAGAAACTGGTTTGGTTTTTTGTATGTTGTTTGTCTTTTTGATAGGGCCTCCCTGTGTAGAACGGGCCTAACCTGAAACTTGCATCAGTCCTCGTACCTTGGGTTTCTAAATCCTGGGATTCCAGGCAGGTGCCACCATATTCAGTTTCACACCCAAGAAACTGTTAGCTATGACTGGTTCAGAGAAGGATGGGGCTTGTGGTAGGAGGTGACTTATTTTAAATGATCTAAATTTTACATGTGATAGTCATCACACACACAGAAGCTAGCCAGGAAACCAACTATCTTAAAGGGCATGACTGGATATTCTCGATCATGATTCTGTCACATTGGAAACCTCCCACGGGCAAAACCAGGTCAACTGAAGAACACTGGGCCAAGGAAAGATGGTACTTTGAAAAGAAGATACGCTGACATGGTGTCAATTTTAATCTTAGAAAAGTTAAGTCCTTGGTATTCTCATTAATAAATTGAAAGTAACAGACCACAAGACCTTAAGAATAACATGTTCACAAAAACATGTTGTTTAAATATGAAGTGTTTCCCCTACAGGAAGACCATGTGTTTCAGGTGTTGTAGGGAAGGGTGTGCTAGGGAAAAGTGACTGGACCATAATTTCATCAACCGAGTAATCCACTGATGGAGTTTGAATTATTGGGAGATGGTACAAAATAAGAGGTGGGGCCTATTTAGAGGGAACACATCAGTGGGGGTGTGCCCTTGGGCCTAGCTTGTGCTGGGTGTGTTCTCACTCCTTCCCTCTCTCTGTCTCCCATTCTTGGTGATCTGCCTCTGCCTCACTCTTGCTGCCATAATATCTACTTCTCCTCAGGCCAAAAGCAATGGTCTTATCATGAAACCTCTGAACCCATGAGGTGAAAACAGCCCACCCTCCTTAAGTTGTTCCCTAGGTGCCAGGCACAGCAACAAGATCTAATAACTCTTGGCCTCTCCTGATCATGCTGAACAACAGCAATTGCTTTCTTATGTGGGTCAACAGAGCTTTTATACCTCAGTGTTGTAGTGATTTGTTCATGTATCTGCCTCTCCCACCACAATCTCTAATTCTCAAGAAATTGAGAAGATATGCACAACAGTCTTAATTCTCTCTAGCACAGTGCCTAGAAGACAACAGAGATGAAAGATGTTTGTTGAGGAAGTAGCCTGAGCCCTATGAGTGAAATTAAATGAAGACAAAAATCCCTGTGCTCAATAGACAGACAGAGGGTGAGATGGGTAGATGGATTAAGGCTTTAAGGCCCAGATCATGGACAGGAATGCAAAGTCAGAATGAAAAAGTCAAAAGGGAGGTGGACAGAGAAAGAGAGGAGGCTCAAAAGTATACTAATACGCAAGCGTGGGTTACCAGTGTGAGCAAGGTAAAGGCAGAAGATAATTAAGATAGACAGCTGTCCAAAGTCAGGCTTGGTGGTGCACACCTTTAATCAGAGCACTTGGGAAGCAGAGGTAGGTGATCTCTGTGAGACGGAAGCCAGCCTGGTCTACACTGGGCGTTCCAGCTAGCTGAGGCTACACGGAGACCCTGTCTCAAAAACCAAAAGGCAAACACTATGAATTTCTTTCTGCAGTGACTCGGCAGGCAGGTTCCCTTCTTCAGCTGCTTTCCTCAGAAGTCTCCCAGAAGGGAACTTTTGAAGCAGACCAGAAACTGAACAGGGAAAACAGTAGAGGATACCTTTAGAAATAAGAACAGCCAATCAGGGGTTGGAGAGATGTTTAGAGGTTAAGAGCACTGACTGCCCTTGCATAGAACCCAGGTTCAGTTCCCAGCACCCACATGGTAGCTAACAACCATCATTAACTCCAGTTCCAGGGGATCTGATGTCCTCTTCTGGCCTCCACGGGCACTGCTTGCACATGGTGCACTTACATACATGCAGGCAAAACACTCATACGGATAAAATAAAATAAAAGCCAATTGTATGTAGATCTCAAGGCTAGGAACTGCAGCAGACCCAGGACACAAAACAAAGCCCTACCCTAACTATGGAAAGAGAAAACGAAGCAAGCCCAAAACTCTAACTTAATTAGTGATCAATGCGTTGCATGGACAGGTGAGGAATGCTGACTTGAGGACGGCCAAAGGGTGTGAGGCAGGGGCGGGGAGAGCAGAGAACAGAAGCATCAAGGCAGAGGAAGCCCAGAAGAAACAAACGTCACAGAGCGAGTGGGACAGGCATGACAGAAGTTCATGTTCGAGGGACACAGGACAACTCACCATCCCCTTCTGTGGCTGGGGACTTCCCAGCATGGGTGGCTGCCAGTACTGAACATCGAGTGCCCTACAGCCTGCGAGATGAGCAGACCCCAGGTGAGGCCTCTGTTAATGGAACTGGGAGCCACTGAAGGTGATGATTTTTAAATGTTTTATTATTAATTAATTAATTTTTGGTCTTTTTGAGACAGGGTCTCCCTGTAGCCACAGCTGGCCTGGGCTCACTATGGAGACCAGGCTGGCCTTGTACTCACAGAAATCGCCTGCCTCTGTCTCCCAAGTGCTAGGACTAAAGGCATGCACCACCATGCTTGGCCTGTTTTTTTTTTTTTTTTTTTTTTTTTTAATATTACAAATTTTTCCAAATGTGGGCAAAATAGAAAAACATTATCTGGTTCACTAAAGGGTTTTAAGCAAGGGGGAAACATTAATAAGTTTGTGTTTAAATGATAAAGAATTGAAGGTAAAGCCAATAGAAGTACAGGACACTGTAGCAAGGCGGGTGGGAGGGACCAGAGTGGTGAGATTCTGTGAGACCAGAACAGAAAACTATAGGGAACAAAACAGCAACGAAGAAAATAGAAAACAAAAATTAGACTAGGTGGCATTAGGGAAAACAGAGTTGCCATTTACAATGATTTGAAGGAAATAAGAAAACGTGCTTGGATTCTTCACCTTGGGTGACAAGAGCAACTGGGGTTTAGACCCATCTTTCCTGGTGTGCTGTGCATCTGTGTCCTGCGGAGTGAGTGAGCTTTTAATCGCAACTGTGGTACTGACTACATGTATTGCCTGGATATAAATCACTGACTAGGAAAGTCACCAAGGAGTGAATTGTGTGTGTAAATTACACCACAGTGGACCTGACAAAAGCCACTGAATGTTACAGGTGCTGAGGCAGAGGTACTGACGACTGCCCCAACCCAAAGGCAGAAAGATGCAACCGATCTTACTCTCCTTCTCGGGTGGCTCCCCTTCGCACTCAGGCAGGACTGGCTGCGCCTGCACTGCATTGTGACACACTGTCTCTTCCACCTGCAGATTCTGTTCCTTTCTCCAGTCTGGCTGCTAGAGACAAGAGATAATTAGGCACACTGTAAGTGGTTCAGAAAAAACAACAAGCAAAACAGCTTGAATATTAAAAAGAGAAATTTGGAAAGAGCACAGACTTGGAGCAGCTTCCCTGCTCCTGCTGCGCTCCTGTCCACTGGTCTTGCTTCGTTGTCAAGGGGCACCTGGGACCCTTACCTTCTGTTGTGCTGCTTCTCCACGTGCCAGCTGCAAATCTTCCAGGATTCCCACCAGGTCCTCCCCACTCTCTGGGTGATGCTCCCAGACCTGGGCCCGCAGGTCCCCCGGCAGGATGGTCAGGAACTGCTCCAGCACCAGCAGCTCCAGGATCTGCTCCTTGCTGTGGGTCTCAGGCTGCAGCCACGCTCGGCAGAGCTCCCGGAGTCGGTGTAAAACCTCCCGAGGTCCTGCGCTTTCCTCATAGCGCAGTTGCCTGAATTGTTTGCACAATGGCTCCTGCCCAAGGCCTTTTCTGTTTTCTTGAACTCTGAACCCCTGTTCCCAAGAACAGTAGTTGTTACCGGAGTTAAAGATTCTACCCGGGTTTGCAGCGACCTACTTTACTACCTTTAACTCTGGGTCCAGATTTCTTCTCAGCTCTGCACATATAATCATGTGGTGTACTGTCTGAGAACCGGCCGGCAAAGTTTCACAGCCCCCACTCACCGGCCTCTTTAGCTATTGCTTCGTTTTTAGGGTTGCCCCCACTCCCATTTTCTTTTTTGAGACAAACTCGACAGAGATCCCGGTTTCTGCCTCCCCAGTGCTGTGATTAAAGGTCTGCACCACGATACTCGGCCCCTAGTCCCTTTTAAGGTAAGAATGCCTAAATCTGAGGCTAGAGAGATGGCTCAGTGGTTAAGAGTTCTGACTGCTCTTGCAAAGGACCAGAGTTTGATCCCCAGCACCTCCATGGCAGCTAATAACCACCCCTAACTCCAGTTCCAGGGGATCCGCCACTTTTTTTTCTGATCACCTCGGGTATTGCATGACTTGGGTGCACTTACACACATTCAGGCAACACACTAATACACAGAAAGTAAAAAAAAAAAAAAAATTTAAAAACAATGACTAAGTCTATTTTGAAGACTCTAAGAACAACTGGTTTTGCAGGCAGATCACCCCATGGCATTCACAGCTGCCTGCCAAACAGGTGCAATTCCCCCATGGACAGGCCCAACACTGCGCCCCCCCTGGAGCCAGCAGGACCTCACAGAACCAGCATGAAATAATGACCAAGCAAACATCTATCCAAGGCAGCTTGAGAAGAGTGCACACGGCCCTTCCTCAGCTTTTGTCCTGTCCCCATTTAATCCTGTCTGAGCCCCGAAGACAGCTTCAGTCACTGGTCCTCCTGCTTCTTCAACTCCTTTCTTACTTTACTATGATTCATCTCTCTCACAGGACTTGAGTGGCAGGTGATCAACTTTAGTCTGTTAGAGCCCCAAGGTCAGAGTCCCGGAAAGTAGTGGTCATCTCGTTACCTGAAGCTCTTCCTTCAGACTCCGGCGAACATGGCATCGGACAATCACTGAGGCTACTGCCATTCCCTGCTTCAGGTTGCTCTATTTTGGAGAACTTTCTTTTGACTATATCCTCCTAAAAACAGTCACAGAAACATTAATACTGTAGTAAGAATAGAAACAGCAAAGACCCTATCTTAGGGCTGTAAGTTTCCTTGTATCCATTGTTTTTCTCCCAAACAGCCATTAGCAAGTACACAAAGCAAGAGAACTCACTTATCGGTTTCCAGCTAACATAGATTTGGGGCTGGGCATGGTGGGGCACACCTTTAATGCACTTGGGAGGCAGACACAGGAGGATCTGTGTGGGATTAAGGGCAGTCTGGTCTACATAGCAAGTTCCAGGCCAAGTGGAGATACTGGGAGACCCTATCTCAAAAAAAATAAACAACCAGAGAAAGGCAGAGAGAGAGAGAATAACAGATTTGAAAAAAAAATCACTATCTTTATACTCTCAAACTCATGATTCAGTTGAGGACCATAAATGATTGCTAAACCACTGAGTGTGAAGAATAAAGAACAGAAAGTTTTCACAGTCTCACCCACCATACTGCTTATTAATCTGAGGGAAACAAAGGTACCCAGCAGTCACAAATGTAACCAAATGATCAAACGCAGCCATAACCAATAGCAAGGCAAGTGACATCAAGAAACTTACCACCTACAGATCATTTTCTTTTTATAAAAAAAATATTTTATTATTATTATTTTTTTTTCTTTTGAGACAGGGTCTCCCTGTAGCCCCAGCTGGCCTGGAAATCATTATGTAGCCCATGCCTGCCTCAAACTCATATTCCTCCTCCCTCTGCTACAGAGTACTAGGCATACAGATGTGTATCAGGCTGCAGGGCTCAAATGTGACTTTGTAATGAACTTTGCAGAACATAGCTGTAGGTGACCGTTTTGAGTCACAACACCTGACCAAATATCTGTCCCAGGGTGTCCAGGTATTTGGTCAAACATTATTCTGGATGTGTCTGTTTCTGGATAAGATTCAACAGATCTTAGACTATGGATGAGTAAAACAATCGTCTTCCATACTGTAATGGGCCTCACCCGGTAAGTTGAAGATTTGGGAGGAACAAAAAGGCTGACTCCCGAGGTGAGAGAGTATTCCCTCCCTAACAGCCTTCAGGCTTGAACTAAACCACCAGCTTTTGTGGTTCACAGGATTTTGTCTTGCACTCGAGCTGAGTAATTTGCTGTTTTGTCTGTGGTTTGCTAATTTGCTCTCAAGCTCTTGGGACTTGCTAGCTGCTATAACCATGAGCCAATCCTTGTAAATATTTAAAAATTTTTTCCATTCTATAAGAATTGGCATATATTAACTATATATAGCAACCAGTTTATGACATTTTCATAAATATACATATTTTGGTTAATTCACCCCAAGTTGCTCTCTCCTGCCCCCTCCCTGATTCTTTCCAAATCATCCTATTTTCCTGCTTAAAAATAAATGTTTATTTTTAAAAATATTTATTATTTTCATTTTATGAGTGTATTGCCTGCACGTATGTGAGTGCACCCATGTCATGCAATGCCGTGGAGGTCAGAAAAGGGCTTCGGATTCCCCTGGAACTGGAGTTAAGGACTGTTCTAGCCGCCATGTGGGTGCTGAGAATTGAATCTGGGTCCTCTGCAAGAGCAGTCAGTGCTCTTAACCACTGAGCCATCTCTCCAGCCCTCAACTGGAAAATTCATAGAGGTCAGGAAACTAATAAGGGACTATGGGGTGGGGGGCTTTATGGGAGAGGAGACAGAACGCAGTGATATAGAGGGGAAAGGAATAATGAGATGGGCAGGGTTAAATGGGGTGGGGAACAGGAGGGCAGGGCAGAAGGGGGAGTGAGGGGAGGGTAATTAACACTAAATGGAAACCTACTACTACAGAAGCTTCTTAAACTGTATATATACAATATAAAGAGTTTAAATGTTGTAACAAGTTCAACAGCCCCACAGGACACCATAGGCTAGCAAATAAAAAGCTCAGTGTCAGGAATGGACTCCCTCTTTTGGAGTTGTTGACCAGGGAGATCCCACAGACCCTCAACAATACTGGCTACTACCACTGTTCTTGGTTACTTGCTGGAACTTGAGGGTGAGACATGGCACATGAGTCACAGAACAAATGAGGAATCAAGCTGGCACTGACCTCGAAAGCCTCATCTCTACTGACTGGCTTCCATAGTGCTAGAAGGGCCATGCATGCTACTGGAAGAGGAAGGCAGTCATCAGCCTTGCCAGCTACAATGACTGACCTGGCAAGATATGCCCACTGGTGCAACAGTGGCATGACTGTTACATGAATAACTGACTACCTCCTGATTGGATTTAAGGCCCACTTTACAAGATGGAGTCCATACCTGGCACTGTTATCAAGGTCAAGAATCTGTGGCTAGACATGTTACAGGCTGTGGGGAGAAACTATTATTATTCTGCTAAACAGACATAGTATTAAAGCGACTCCTAATGACTTATTGTTATACTTACAAATCAGTGCATCTTTTAACTCTAACCAGAGAAACTTCTTGCAGGAGATGGCAATAAACATAAAGGCCCCCGGGGGTGGGGTAGGGGTGTCAATGTGCAGAGAATAAGAGATCACAGAGAGCTTAGCTCTAAATGACACAGACCTCAAGGGACAGACCTACACAAAAGAGCATTTTGGAGAACACAGATTAGATTTAATAGGCATTTAAAAAAATAATAGAGGATAATTAATGAGGTTGTTTTGATTCTACAGTTTAAATATGTCTCAAATCTACCCACTTCTTATCCTTGATACACTGTCTTCTACTCAGACTACTTTAACGGTCTTCCTGGTACCACCAATCTATGTCCACACCTCACCAGTTACCTTCCTAAGGATGAAAGGAAGTACATCTCTGCTGTACCTGTTCCATATAAATGGCTCATTGTTACCATTAAGATCAAGTTTAAAACATTTAATATGGTCAAAGCTTTTCTTAGGCTTTAATAACTACCTTTAGTTTCTCAAACTTGTAATACTTTTTTGTTCCATGGAAAACCACTTAACGCTTCTTCTTAATGCAGTCACATCTCATTCCATAGCAAAACAAGTCAACATTGCTCTACCTGCTTCACATTTATTAATTCACTTAATCCCCACACAAACCTACAAAGAATTATACTCTTTAGCCTTAGTGTACAGACATAAATTTGACACGCAGAGTTGAGGAATTTATATCAAGTCTTTAAGTTGAACTTCAGAACTTTTGTCCAATATCCTTGTATCCATTGCCCTTAAACTTTGAATTGTTTTTGCCTTTTCTCTTGCTTATCTATGTCTGATCTGGAAGCAAATACTGTCGGCTCTATCTGGCCAGAACTGCCACAATGCTGGCCCAGGACAGCCTTCACTTCCCACAAGATTTCCTTTCTTCCTCTCCCTTCTTTCCTTCCTCCCTCCCCTCTCTTTCTTTCTTTCCTTCCTTCTCTCCCTCCCTCCCCTCTCTCTTCTCTCCCCCTTTTCTTTCTCTAACAGCGTCTCACTCTGTAGCCCAGGATGGCTACCCACCATCTAGACATTCATGGCAATCTTCCTGCCTCGGCATTTCAAGTACTGGGATTTCAGGGACTAACCACCACACTGGCCCTGCAAGTTATTAGAATGCACCTAATTTTAAAGTATTCTTGATCCCATCCCTCCCACCTATTCTCATTATGAGTTTCTAGCTAAAACGCTTTAAGATATGTCAGATCATGTCTTTCTCCTGCTTAATAGCCCTCCAAAAACTCACACCAAGCCCGTACTCCTCACACAACTCAAGATCCGCTTTTCCCACTTGCCTTCATTCAGACCTATTCTCTCTGGCATCATGTACAAACATCGCTGTTATTCACTGCGATGGAACCGCTCTGGTCCCCGTTATTCCCTAATACGACAAAGAAGCTCCGAGAGGGCCTCTGCAGTGCCTGTTTCCTCTACGCATAGCGCACCCATCTTTCTCCGGTGTCCACTCAAATATACCCACAGAGGAACCTACTTAAATACGCAGGAGAAGCCGGGGTCGTAGCTCCAACCTGGAGGTCCAGCACTTGGAGGTGGAGGCAGGAAGATCAGGAGTTCAAATCAAAGGCCCACGACATGAGTTTGAGGCCGATGTGGGGTACCCGAAACCCTGTCTCAAAACAAATAAAACAACCACCAGCAGCAGCAGCACAAGCCGGTCGCACGGCCTCACTTCTGTAACCCAAAACTCCGGATGCTGAGGCAGGAATTTCCCGAGTTCCAGGCCAGCCTAAGCTACATGATGCGTCCCAGGTTAAGCCTGCGCTGCAGAGTGAAACCCCATCTTAGCAACAGACCGAAGGCTGTGTGCGCTCACTTTGTCCTCCGTTTCGTCCTCTCCAGGCCCGGGGAGGGAGGGGTTAGCTCCAGTCGCGCACCCGTTTCCGGTTCGCACAGCCTGGCGCGGACCGAATCCACCGCTCCTATTCCGCGCCGCCCGGAAGGACCCGGGCCGTCCCACCGGCTCCGCGGCGGGCCGCTCACCAGAGTGTCTTGCCCGGACCGGTGGCTTCCGGCTCCGCTCTAGGACCTCAGGAGGACCACAGCTTCACTCGGTGGTGCCGGATGTCTTTCAACTGGCCAGTCAGAGTAGGAGTAGGGGGTGGGGGGCGCGGGGAGGACTTCCAGGTCGCAGGCCATCACTGAGGAAAGTCAGGGCAGAAATGGAAGCAGAAATCATCAGTGGACTCTGCTTACTGGCTTGCCGTCAGACCCATGCTCCTAATTTGTTTTACAGGATCTCGTATAGCCCAGGCCATGAGGCAGAGGATGACACCTCCATATCCCAGGTACTGGGATTAAAGGCTTGCATTAATTTCCAAGTCAGGCTCAGTCTGATGATTTTTTTAAAAAAATGAAACCTACATCCGTTGCAGTGATTTTTATTATTCTGTCCCACAGCAATAGACTTAATTTCATTAGTTTAAACCTTTCAATTCAAATATGTTCGTTGTTCACATTTAATTTTCAGAATACTTTGATCCTTATTTTTGTCGTTGGATTTGGTGATTTTTCTAAGTTGAGAAGAAATGAGGTATTTATCTTGTTCATGTGCTTGAGCAAAGTGGAAAGAGGGGAGGGAAGGATGGGAGGGAGCTTTGTTTCTCATGCTCCAAATCAGATCCTGTACATGAACACTAAGACTGTCTTCATAGGCCTGAAGACTATCTCATCCACCTGTTTGTTCCGGGCTAACTCTCCAGCCCAAGTGGGTCCTGGAGGAATGCAGAATTGAGACCAGTGAAGATAAATCAAAACAAATCCTGCCGAAAGTGCAAGAGTCTAAAAGTTCAGAACAAATCCCACAAACACACACATATACACATAGAGATAAATCTTTAAAAACCCAGAAAAGTATGTGGCTGGTAATTATTGAAAACGAAACTCACACGTGAACTCAATATACTACCAAAATCTATAACTTTAAGCATCATATTAATGGACTAACAAAATTGGATGATCTTCACTCGTGTTATAATTTAGTAAAACTGAGTCTGCATTTCTTTTTAAAAATTGTTTAATTTTGTGTGTATGAGTGTTTTGCCTGCATATAGGTAAATGCACCCATGTTGTACAATGCTTATGGAGGAAGAGGAGGCTGTCAGATATCCTGGAACTGGAGTTTGAGATGGCTGTTAGCCACCATGTGGGTGCTGGGAACTGGACCCAGGTCCTCTGTACCCAGTGGTCTTATGCTGAGTCTTCTCTCCAGTCCCCAAGTCTTTGTTTCTGACCAAAAGAGTAAAATAAGAATTAGGAGATATTTCTTTTATAAATCAAAAACAAATTCATCTGAAACCAAAGCTTCCCTTTGATGGTGAAATCTTACAAATACCTCCATAAAAATCTAGCTAGGGGCTGGAGAGATGGCTCAGCAATTAAGAGCATTAGCTGCTTTTGTAGAGGCCCAGGTTCAGTTCCCAGCATCCACATGGTGGCTAACAACCATCCGTGAGTCCAGTTCCAGGGGATCTGATGGCCTCCCCTGGCCTCTGTGGGCATTGCATGTACAGATGCACTTACATACATGCAGGCAAAACACTTATACGCATAAAATAAAATTTTAAAAATCTAGCTGCCTTGTTGGAATGTACAATGGATCGAATCTTAATTGTCCCCCAAAGGTTTCTGTCTTGAAAGCTTCATTCCTAGCCTATAGTGCTACAAGGATGTGTTAAAAGATTTAGGAGCTGGGGTACCAATAGAAGAAACTTAGGTCACTGGGAGCATGCCCTTGAGCAGATATTGGGACCTCAACCTCTCTTCTCACCTTTTGCCTCCTGCTTCCCGTGTATGACCTGACCTCCTCTGCTACATGGTTCTTGCCATCATGTAAAGTGCTTTTTTTAAAAAAATGTATTCCTGTTTTGCAATCCTTTTTTTGGTGAAGTGCTCACACTGTAACTTTTGACCATTTTATTTTGGGATTGTTGGACTTTGTCTTATAAAAACTCTTCAAATAGTAAAACGTTAACTTCTTATCAACTATATTGCAGATATTTCTCTGTTACTTGGTTTTCTGTTACTTGGTTTGACTTGGTTTTCTGAGATATTTGGTTACATTTGGCCCAAGGCCTGAAAATATCCCTTAATACTAGCCTAGCAGTTCTCTTTTTCTTTCTCACTTGGGAAAAAGCTTCCATCTGAGCAACTGCAACATCTAAGTAAGCACAATAGTTCTAGTGTATGTACAGCTCACTTGCCATCTAATGTTGCCACCAAAGAGTAAGTCTGACTTAAAAGAGATATGTAATATTGTCACAGACGTCAAGGTATAGTTGAATACCTCTCTGTTGCAGTTTCCATCAGGAGTGAAGACATTTATGGACATAAAAAGACTTGAGAAAGGAAAATAAGATTAAAAATGAAAAACCACTTTCATCTACCAGAATAACAAAGACAAAAAGCTTTTTGAAAGTACAATACTGTGATGTTGATCTATAAACATGCGAATCTTACTGGAAAACATTGCTACAATATCTATTAAAAATTAAAAGCATGGAGCTGAAAGTGTGACATTCTTAGATTTTCATTGGCAATTTTATTTTAAAAAGTCCATTTCTTACATCTTCAGTCTCTTGTTATTTTTCATAGTGTGCTACAATTTGTAATCATTATTTTTTTGAGTTTGACCCCGGTAAAATGTAAAGTTTTCTGATGACAGAGGGTCAAACTTACTGATTTATCCCCAGTACCTACAACACAAAAATCACTTAATATTTTCCCTTGTACTCAATAAGTATTTGCTTTTCAAGACTGGTGCTCATAGCTAATGAAAACTAGCAGACCATAACCCACTTCTGGAAACCCTCTACAGTCCTCCTTTGATCTATGGAACCAGCCTGAAGTTTCCCCATCAGGGCTGCTCCTCATTCCTGTCTCAAGACCCAACTTCCTTTCTCTGACTTGAGTTCATTTCCATTGTCACTAAGTCATAAGAACTTCGCATGTTCAGTAACATTTGCATACAGTGGAAACTATGAAATAAAATTTAAAATTATATGTATGGTTACAAACCATTTCCAAGATGTACTGTTAAGAGTGCCAACTCTGGTATATATAGCTTGTTTCTAAGAATGGAAATATACAGATGTAAAAGCATGGCTTTCACTGATTTCCTTCAACTTCCTTTGGGAAAAACTCAAGCTGGTCATCCACTGGGGTGTCACATTGCCCTGCCAGATTCTAGAACCCACCCCTTAGCTTCAGCTTCACGGGACTGTCCTAGTTTGTTCTTCATTGCTGTGACAAAATACTATGACCACTACCAACTTGGGGAGGAAAGGGTTTATTTACATCTCCCAGGTCACAGTTCATCCGGGAGCCCAAGGTAGGAGCTCAGGGCAGGAACCTGGAGGCAGGAGCTGGAACACAGGCCATGGAGGAACGCTGGTTACTGGCTTGCTCCCCTGGCCCCTGCTCAGCCTGCTTTCTTACACAATGCAGGCCCACCTGCCTAGGGGTGGTACCACCCACAGTGGGCTGGGCCCTCCCACATCACAACAAAGAAGGTGCCCGTGGACTTGGCCACAGGCCAGCCCAAAGAAGGCAATTCCCCAGTTGAGGCTCCCTTAACCCAGGTGTGACAAGTTGACACTATGGCTATCCAGCACAGGGACTTTCTGGTGTTTTGAGCCTTGGAAAGCTTTTCCAAATGAGATAAGTTAATTTGGGTGGTGCTGAAGTGTCAGGCTCAGTGAAATATCAAATATCCCTAATGACAACAAAGGCCTTATTATAAACTTTAAGTGCAGCTCACTCTAAAGTCCTCCCCAGTCTTTTGATACGACATCTTCAGTCCATGTAATGCCTCCTGATCTAGCCTTCTCTTCATGGGCATGAAAACTATTTCTTCCTTTATATCTCCACAAGTTTTTTTTCTTTCTCTTGATATACTAGGTGGCCCTAAAATACTCTTTGGAAGACTCAAACAACGCTGGATCTTCAACGTTTCTGTCCTGATTTGTGAATAAACCTTGTGTAATTTGGATTATATTCAAAACTTTTCTTTACAAATTTTCAGCACATGTAAAATACACACACACACACACACATACACACACACACACCATATAAAAATTTAAAACTATTATTCATTGGTTGTCTCTCTTCCTGGCCCAACATTACTCTGATTTTCATTCAGCAATCCACTTCTTCCATATGTAGCCCATACACTGACCACACATGTAGTTCCTTGGAGTAAGCTATTCTGTTTTTCCAGCAACAGCATTTTTTAGGCATATATGTAAAACCTAAGCTAAACCCAGTTAGGGTGAAATCTTGTTAAGAATACCAAATCAGACATAGCAAGACCCTACCTCAGAACAAAATAAAAGTGGGGAGGAAGAAATAATTTGGGGGACAGAAATTGCAGGAATCAAGAAAGGCCTCTGGGCCAGGAGTCCTTGCTCCTTGAAATGCTGTCCATTTTGTATCCAAGAAAGCAATCCTGGGCCATGATTCAGCAGCCACTCCAGGGTGTGACGAGTCTACGTTTCAACCAAGACCAAAGTTGCTTTTGCTGTGCCATGGAGACAGGCGTACGCATCTATTATGTGGAGCCACTGATGGAAAAGGGACATCTGGACGAGGAGCAGGTATGGGCAGCATAGGCCTGGCAGAGATGCTGCACAGCTCCAACCTGTTGCCCCTGGTGGGCAATGGTGGCATCCCCAAATTCGCAGAGATCTCAGTGCTAATCTGGGATGATGCCGGAGAAGGCAAGGACTCCAAGGACAAACTGGTACAGGAATTCACCTTCACGGAAACAAATGTTAGCTGTGTGCATGCGCCATGACGTACTGCAGGCCCGCATCTATTTGTTCCCCTTCCCTGACAATCCTCGAAAGCTGTTTGAATTTGACACTTGGGACAACCCCAAGCTGTGTGACCTCTGCCCCAGCCTGGAAAAGTAACTACTTGTGTTCCTTGGACACAAGTGTGGAAGTCTGCAACCTGTGGACCTGGCACGAACAAAGCCTGGGACTTCATTGGCTCCATTCACCATCAAAGCACATCAGTGATGTGGCCTGTGTGTCCCTGAACCAGCCAGGCGCCTCAGCCCTCCGGAAGGGTACTCTTATTCAACTTTTTGACACCCAGTCCAAGGGAAAACTGGTGGAGTTGTGCAGAGATACTGACTCTGCCATCCTATACTGCATTAACTTCAGCCTCAACTCCTCCTTCCACCATGCTTCCAGTGATAAGGGCACTGTCTATACCTTTGCTCTGAAGGATACTTGCCTCAAATGCCATTGTGTGCTGGCTTGCCTGGGCAAGGTGGGGCCTATGATTGGGCAGTACATGGATTCTCAGTGGAGCCTGGCTAGCTTTACTGTGCCTGCCGAGTCGGCCCATATCTTCACCTTTGGTTGCAATACTTTCAAGAACAATTCTGTAATTGTCATCTGCATTGATGGGACCTTCCATAAATGTCTTCACTCCTGATGGAAACTGCAACAGAGTCATTCAACATATAGCTTGACATCTGTGCCAATGATGAAGAACCCTAGAGGCTGTGCTAGGAACCCGCAGTAAGATTGCAGAGCTGTCTTAGAGGTGGTGAACCAACCTGTAACCATTAATGAGGCCTCCCACTCTTCCTGCGAGCAGAGCTATAGCTAAACAAACAACTCACTTCAGCTTTGTTGTGCCCAAGGCAAGGGTCATTTCCCAGGCCACCTAGTCTGGAGAAGAGTCTCAAAGGACTCAAAGGAAATGTCTTAATCTAACCTGGGGATTTAAAAAGTTTACCAGGAGATGATCTCTGATGTGATTTACATGAATAAAAGGCCTTTAAATAGCAGCCCCCCCCCACAAAAACCAAAAACAAATCAGGAATATTCTGTCCTGGCAGTGACCCTTGGAAGCTCTCTGGACATGGCCCTGTGACTGGTGAGGAACATAGGTTCTGTGGCCTACACTCTGCCCACTGGGTTCTGTCTGCCTACCTGGGGCCCTGGCAGCTGAGGGCAGGTACTTTTTAAAAAATATATTTTATTATTTTTATGTGTATGAGTGTATTGCCTGCATGTATGTGAGTGCACCCGTGTAGTACAATGCTGCAGGGGTCAGAAGAGGGCTGAGGGTAAGTACTCTTGAGCCGTATACAGGACACACTCTTCTCTCACTGCAGTGTGTAAATTCAGGGAAATGTAAATGGACATCAGAAAAGGTATTGAAACAGTGGTAATCATCAATTTTGCACAGCAGTCTTTGGGACGTATTTACTGTAGTCTGCCTGAAGTTGGGACAAAAATGAAAAGCTGAGACTGGTGCTTTGAAAAGTGTGAAAGCCACCAGTGAACTCTATAGTCCTCTATAAGGAGAGGCAAATGAAATTAATGAAGCACTTGTAGAAAAGCCATAGCTTCTCAGCATATCGTTATGAAGATGCTTCACAGATAAAGATGACACTTAACAGCACTTCCGAGCTAGATGAACTGAGTGAAGCGTATGAGAAACACATAAAACCTACTTTAGATTGGACATGACACCCTAAATAATCTAGTGTGAAACAGCTTACTCCAGCATAACTGTCTTAAATTAGTGGTGGATAAAAAACTTTCAACTACTTTTAGTAACACCAATGGAGAAGAAACTACTCTCCAAAACTACTGGGAGAGAATGCCCCAACTTCATAATGATTGCATATAAACACAATATACATATTTTTCTTTTTCAGATTAAGCTTTTCTGCTGTTCAGAATTCATGACATTTATTGCAAAATGTAGTTATAAAGCTTTATTGATATACCAATAATTTCAATATTACATATAAAAATATTAACACATTTCAAGGATAACATTGTTATAAGCCTTCTATACCATTATAATTTGCTTACATCCATCCCTGGTTTGGAATCAAAACAATGATCTTCCCATGGGCAATGGAAGAACAAATCCTATCTTACAATATGCTGTACTTGCTAGTGTATTTTCATATTGTGAAGAAATGGCTTTGCAGCAAAGTAAGAAAATTTCTGACCTCTTCAAAAATAAATGTTCTTTCAGATTTGGCAGACCTTTTGAAAACAGTCTAAGAGAAATGACCCATGGAAAAGGAAGATGGAAGGAAAAAGCCTAAGTTCTAGTAACGTTGTACTAGGAACCCCGCTTCCCAGGTATTTCAGCTTCCACAGTCAATCCTCTGTTTAACCAGCTCTGTTAACTACAGTCCAAAGAATACAAGTTGAAGTTATTGTTCTTTCTGGTCTCCTTGGCAAATGACTTCTGTAATGAAGTCCTTGGGTGGGGGTGAGAGGGGATCAGAGTAACAACTAGATAAAAAAAAAAAAACATTTCAATGTAATAGCACTAACATTTATCTGGCAAAAATATGACCTTTACATGCTATGGAAAAATACAGATGCCTATTTGTGTGTGTGTGTTGGTGAATCCTGGAGTGACAGTCACCTTTTACTTATTCTCCTACAATATTTATGAAACCATGTGCCTTTAAGTAAAAATTTCCAGGCCAGCCTGGTCTACATAGCGAGTTCCAGGTCAGCTGGGGCTACAGGGAGACCCTGTCTCAAAGACCCAAAAGAAAAAAAAAAAAAGTAAAAAATTTTAACATCTCAAGAAGCATTTTCATGAGGGGATACTAACAAAGTAAAAGTCCAATTACACTGGTAAAGCCTTCTGTTGTTCAAAGTCCTGTGCAACACACAACTTTTTAGTTGTCTTCTTTTCCTTTTGTCTTTCTGTAAACCATTTCTCGAAAACTGGCTAGGATCCTGTTCTCTCTCTTGTGCCTCTCTTCTTGGTTAAACGATGCAAGTGCTCTTTTCTCATCGGCACTGTAAATCTGGTTCTCTTTCCGCAGCCTTACGGCCTCCATTCTTCGATGCCTGCTACCACTCATGACATAGCCTGAACACTCAAATGAGACAATCTCTTCACTCGTCAGCCCAATTTCACCTCTCCGTGGGATACGCTTTCCAGCCTTTACATACTCGGCCATAGCTGCACCTTCACCTGGGAGCAGAGCGTGGCCGTAATTCAAAGGTTTCTCATCTTGAGAGACATGGATTATAGGTGCTTCGGGACCTATGACAGCCATGGCCTCTTCACCCACTGTCTGTTCAATCCACGTGTCTTCTGGCAACTCTCTTCCTAAAGCTTCACAGCGTAGGTCCCTGTATTTCTTCTTAGTCTTCTTCCTCTTAAGTTCTTTGGCTCTGCGCTTCTTTCTCTTCTCTTTCTTGGCTTTTTTAACTTTCTTTTTATTGCTCTCGGAGCCAGAGTAAGTGTCAGAATCCGAACTACTGCCCCTGTCAGAGCACTTCCTGCGCTTTCTTCTGGAGGGCCGTTTCTTTCTTTTTCTCTTTGCTGAACGACTGGTCTTTGTCCTTTTGTCCTCGGTGAACTCGGAGCTGCTGCTTTTCTGGTTCAGCTCCTCTTCCACTGGCGTGTGCTCATCCGAGTCGGGCTCGGGGAACCTGGGCGACAGTCCCCACACCTCGGGCGCGCCCAGCTCGCCTATGCGCTCCCGCTCTCTCAGCCTCCGCTGCCCAGAGCTCTCCTCGTCCTTCTCCGGGTCCTCCCCGCAGCCTCGGTACCCCGCGTGGTGGTGCTGGTGGCGGTAGCCGCTGGAGGCGGAGGCGCGCAGCCCCGGCGGCCGCTCTCTTGACCTGGGGCGGCTGGCCGGATGCGCCGTCTGGGCGTCGCGCTGAGGCCGGAGGCCGTCTGGGCCGCAGAGGGGAGGGCGGAAAGCGCCGGTGCCGGGAGAGCGTCGGCTCGCTGCCGCCCACGGCGGGCTCCGGGAGGGGCTGCGGCGGCGTCTTTGAGAGCCCGTGTCCTCGTACGGGCGCGACCCGGACACCGGCGCCATGGCGCTTCGAACCGTCCACTCGGCAGTTACTTGAAGAGGAGCATGCGTGCGTGGCTGTGGCTTCCGCTTCCGCCCGTTGCCGCGAGCACCTTTGGCTTCCGCTTCCGCCCGTTGTCAGGAGCGCCTTTGGCTTCTGCTTAGGCACCGGCGAAGGCCTGGGCGGTGGACCTCGATGGGAGAGGGAAGAGGGAGAGCCGCTCCTTGTCTTTTGAAGCCGGACACGCCGTGAACTCCTGATCCGTTCACCTCTGCCTCCCGCGTCCTGACGTTACAGCTCCTCAGCACAGTCTGGTCTGGTGCTGCGACTCATAAAGACCAAATGAGGGGATAGCGTTCTAATTGTCCTTTAAACAGAAATCATTAAATCCAGAATTCCCTCCAGCGTGGTGGCGCGCATTTTTAACCCCAGCACAGCACTCGGGAGGCAGAGGTAGGTGGATCTCTGTGAGATCGAGGCCAGCCTGCACCCCATAGCGAGTTCCAGGGCTACAAGGAGACCATGTCTCGAACAAACAAAATCCCAAATCCAGAATCCATTTAAGGATCATGGAGTGTGTATATATGTTTCTTTAATCTAGAACAGGTTCTCTGTAAATGTTCTAAATGTTTGCTTTCTCAAATTCATATGTTGAACCCTCATGACCAATGTTGATGTTAGGAGGTGGGTGTTTGGCAGTGAAGACATGAGGGATCCTTCTTCAGGAGTGGAATCAGTGCTCTTATGAAAGAAGTCCCAGAGAGCTGCCTAGCATTTTCCACAACGTGAAGACATAGCTAGATGTGCCAACTAGGAATTAGGAAGCCAGCCTTCACTTGAGAATGAAATATGCCTGTAGCTTCTCAGATTCCAGAACTCTGAGAAATAAACTTCTGTTTGTAATTCATACAGTTTATGGTATTTTGTTATAGCGGTCCAAAAAGACTTGACATGACTTTGAAGAGTTCAGTGTGACTGCCACGTAAAGAGGCCCACAAATTGAATTTTTCTGATTGGGTCAGGATGAAATTCAGGGTAATCTGGCCAGACTCTACATGGGGATACTATATACTTCTTACTGGGTCACAACAGCAGGTACTCAGTATCAATTTGTCCCAATATGTACTTATTAAGAAATTCCTAACAGGGACTAGAGAGATGGCTCAGTGGGTAAGATCATGTAGCACTCTTGTAGAGGACCTGAGTTCTGTTTGCAGCTCACTCCAGCTCCAGGGGACCTGTGGGCACTGAACTCATGTGCACATAGCCACTCACAGACACACATAGACACACACACACACACACACACACACACACACACACTACAGAATTAAAAATAAATCTTAAAAAAAAGGAACGCTTAACAAGAACACCAAAGGCAAGCTGGAATTCAGTTTCTTTCTAAATTGTTTCAGACTGTGTTTACAGATGTATTTAATGATCTTCCCACATGAAACATCTATAAATGTAATATTTTGCTTTATTTCAATTTGAGACAGCCACTAATGAAAACCATTTACAAAAATGAAATAAAAGAATCAGACATGGAATAGTGTTTACATTTTTCATAGGGTTAACAAAATATTTCAGTATTATGTCTGTTTGGTTGTTAAAACTGTGCAAAAACATTTGCATTTTGGAAGACTAAAAAAGAACTTGGAAGATTTTGAAACTTACCCATGTGTTATTTTTGTCTAATTACTGACCTCTCTTTGCTGTCTTTACTGCTTTGTAAATGGGGTTAGTGATAACCTGATTCATCGGGTGAGAATGGGAAGACTGTCCTTGAGGACTTTATTTTGTATCGTTTTGTTAGAGACAGGCTCTTATGTAGCCCTGGCTAGCCCCAAACTTGTTATGTAGCCAAGGATGAGCTTGAACTCCTAGTCTTCCTACCTCTACTTCCCAGGTGCTGAGATTCCAGGGATGTGGCACCAGGCCCACTATTCTTGAGGACTAAACAAGTTGTCTGTCGGTATAGCATCTCACATAGAACTTGGCATGAAGTAAGCAGGAAGCAACAATTTGTTGTTGTTGTTGTTGTTACTGTTATTACTGTATTATTTCTTCTGTAATGGACACATCATTTTCAGCATTTTAATGACTGGCTTTTGTTACTATTTTCATGGTAAGTCGTTTTTTTTTTTTTGTTTGTTTGTTTGTTTTGGAAATTCTCTTTGTAATGTATGATTTCCTATATGGGATGGGTGAGGAGACAGAATATTATTAAGAGCCTCTCCAAATGGTCTGTACTGCTTGTTGTGATACACATAATGGAATATTCAAGACTTAGATATTCCTTTTTCTTGGCTTCCCTGGTTTAGGAAGAACAAGAGCAGTATTTAAGAGTAGGGAAAGATAGATATATGGAACCTAACAAGTTCTGAACATGTTCATTTTTGAGAGTCTCATCTCCAAGATACTCCTGGCTCAGGTGGGTTGTGAGTGCATACATAAGTACATGTGTCCTATATATCTGGGTACCTATAGCTATATTCATGTGGTAGCTACAGATGGCATTGATAAGGGACATCTGTGATGGATTTTTCCAGAGAGGATTAGCTGACAGGAAAAGGATCACACTCACTGTGGGTGGCCATCCACAGGCTTAGGTCCCAGACCAAATACAAAGGAAAATAGGAGAAAGCCATATGAATATCAGAATTTATCTTTCTTGTCTTCCTGGTCTGTGAAAATGTAGATGTGCACAAATAGCTTCCTGCCACCCATGCTGCCATTCTTCATGGTGATGGCGCGTACACTCCAGTGGTGAGCTACAGCTCACCCTTCTTCTCAAGTCACTTTTTGTTGCCTGGTATTTGGTCACAGCTATGAGAGAAGTGGCCAATACCACTGGCATAATGGCTACTTTTGTGACACTGTGACAGTACCCTTGAGAGACACCACTTGAGAGGAAAGGTTGATTTTGGCTCATGGTTTTAGATGGATTTCAGTCCCTTGTTGTGGGGAAGATATGGTGGCAGCAGTGAGGCAGGGACTCTTCACATGGTGGCAACTAGGAGGCAAAGAAAAGGAACCAGGAAAGGACCAGGGCTAGACAGAGCCCCTAAGGACATGCCCTTGGTGACCCACATCCTCCAGCTAGGTTCCACCTCCTCCTTCACCCCACCCCAGTACCATTGTCATATCCATCCATCAGGCATTAGTCTGTTCATAGCCCTCATAGCCATGATCTAGAGGATATGTGTTGTAGTAATCTCATGGATTTTTCTGAATCCACTGAAGTTGACAAGATAAGCATCATAGCTGGTCGTATGAGATGGGGCCTGTGGAATCTAGGGTAGTAACAGACCAGTATCAGTTCTCCTACCATAGCTCCCACCTCTCACCTGAGTAGACACTCCCCTCACTCCACCTGGGTTCCACACTAACTGCTATCTCTTTCCCCCTCTCTTTTATCCCTAGTTAATGATTTTTAGATTGAATTATTGACAAATGGAGGAAAGTAGGATTTTGCTGAATTGAAAAGATTATTATGGAAAACATATCAGCTCATTTATCTATACAAGTATATAAAAAAAGTTTAACATATATGTACCTAAAAATGATAGCAATGGCTGTAGAGATGGCACAGCAGTTAAGAGCACTTACTGTTCTCCCAAAGGACCTGAGTTTGATTCCCAGCACCCATATTGGGTGGTTTTCAACTGCCTGCAACTCCAGCTCCTGAGGATCTTGATCCTCTGTTCTGGTCTCTGCAGACACCTGCACACATGTGGCATATCCACACAGAGACACATAAATAAAAAACAATCTTGTTTCAAAAGTGATCAGGCAGGGAGTGCTGGCACACTACTAAGAGACAGAAGTATGGGGGGGGGTGCGCTCTCTCTCTGGGCACACGGGGTCCCTGCGCGCACTCTCGGGATGGCAGGGCGGATCTGCAGGTGTGCGTGCACTCTCTGGGCGCACCCCCAGGATGGCACTCCCCCGCCGTGCGTCTGGAGGAAAGCTGGTCTGATCCCGTTGGCTTCTCCGTGTCTCTATGGGCCTCAGGCGTGGTGTGTGTGGATATCTCGGGGTGCTCCGGGCCCCTGGATCTCGGGGCCCCTGCCACACCTGGCTAGTTGTGGGCGGGTCTGGCCACAGGCGTCTCTGGCCGTGACTGCTCTGGTGCAGACAGCTTCCTCTGCTACTGAAGCATTGTTCAGCCGAAATCCCGTCTCTATTTCACCCGTGTACTATTCCTCAGGATGCGAGGTTCCTGGCCACAGAACCACACAGGGAAGAGTATGGAGACAGCGAAAGCTAGGGTGTCCATAAGCCAGTCACGAGGAAGTGCACCCCCCGGAGAGATTGGGCCGCCGGTAATGACACAAGACTCAGGACTTAGTCTGTGTTACAGCTTTATTCTCTGAGACCCTGCTCTCTGGGTCCCAGCTTTCTGCTACCCAATTCTCTGCAGCCCGAATTTCTGCCTCCCAATTCTCTGCAGCCCAATTCTCTGACCATTAAGAGAAGACTAAGGCATTTATACCATGGGGGTAGTGGTAAAAGCTTTGGCTGTTAGATGCTTTGTGAGGCATTGTATTTACATATGGAAGTGGGTTTCTGCCAGACTGCTGTCTGCTAGGAAAAATTACAGGAAGGCATGGTACCTGTTAGAGCCAAAGGCCATGTTTATGTTATGGCATTTGTGGCGGACACTTCAAAAGGAGAGACAGGAAAGATGCCAGGAAGACACCCCGCTATGAAAGGAGCCTGCAGCACATAAAACCCGAGCTGCATGAGCTGTCCGGTGTGAAGGGGCTTCGACTTTGCATAACAGAGGCTCCCAACACAGAAGTGGGTGGATCTCTGTGAGTTTGAGGCCAGCCTGGTCTACATAGTGAGTTCCAGGCCATTCAGGGCCATCTCACTATGTAGTGAGACTCCATTTCAAAAAATGAAAATGAGTATATCTGTTGCGGGCTTTCCTCAGACCAGCTGTGACAACTCTGACCTGAATCGGGTCCCCTACCGATTAGGGAGATTGTGGGGGGGCAAGAGGCATGGAGTCAACACACAGACACCGGAGTTGGGTAGAAGCAAGCAGGTGTTGCAGGTTCTCCTCAGGCCAGCTGTGAAGACCCTAACCTGGATCAGGTCCCCTGCCGATTAGGGGGATTGCAGGGGGGCAAGAGGTGTGGAGTCAACACACAGACATCAGGAGTCAGAAGCAAGCACTAGGCGAGGTGCTGCAGGCTCATTTAATGCAGGAGGGGGCAGGCCTTCTATTTCCCTTTTCTCCGCCCCCAAGTCCCTTTAGTCAGCGTATCGTTTTCTGATTGGTCTATCCCACGCAGTCTGTCAGCAGTCACTAGGCTCGCAAGCAGGGTACGGAGGCGTGGGCTCCTTTTGGCGGGCTATTTGCAGACCAAGAAGTGA